TATAAATTTAAAATATAATTTATATGTTCATACAATTTATTTATTATGAATTTTTATTATAATATAATTCATATATTGAACAATATATTTTTATTATAAATTATAGATATATAGAATAAATATTTATTCTTCATATTACATAGACGTGTGTGTTTAATTCATGCTAATTCTTTTTACAAAATTATTCACTGCTTCACGCTAATTAAGGAAAGTTGTTTATATTATTTAATTTTATTAATTTTATATAAAAATAACTTATTTTCTTAATATCAAGAATAAAAAAGATATTAAAAATAAAATTTTAATTAAATAAAGAGATATTTAGATATGATAATATTAAATAGAGTGAGATGAATTGAGACTTGTTTATATTTGAAATCAATAAATATATATATATATTTTCATTTATTTTCATAAGTGGAGGGAATAAAATAGAAGAGTGTAAATGTGAAGAATGAAGTAACAGGAAGGAGACGTATCTTAGTATGTTATTGTAAATTAAAGTTAATAATAACAATGGAAGGCTTTATACTACACGCTGGACTCTAGCGGCTTTTGTAGCAGCGTGAGCGTGAAAAGGCTAAAATGTATCCACTGCTGCACTCTGTCAAAGATAGTACTTCCTTCACAAGGATGCATTCTTCTTCCTCACAAATATAAAACATCACAAAAAAGTGAAAAAGAAAAAACAATTAAATGAAATCTTCCTTCAAGTAATCGCCGATTCCATTGACACTGCTGCTCTTATTATAGCACTATACTGCCTAGTGTCTACACTCCACCCAAAACTTGGAATATTAACTTCTATATAATCTTTCTACCAACTGGGCTATTTGAAGCTCCAACCATGACAAACAAAATCTGGTTTTTTCTGTGCCTGCTTTTTATCAAATGCTATCTGGGTATGTCATGTTTCTCCTTTGCTTTCACTACCTTGCTCTTGTTTTTGTTTCTCTCTTCATGTTTTTCTTGTTCTTTGCGCATTTCTTCTCTAGTTTTTTTTCTTACTTTGTTTTATTTTAGACTAGTTTTTGAGTGTCTTACTATTATGGAGTGTGCTACTTTCGAGATCACATTTTCCTAAAACTTACTCCTTCATCAGATCTTAGTGTGCGCTGCCTCTTGCTAATCAATCAATAAATCTTCTTTCTTTTCCTCTTTCTTTTTTGGTACTTCCATTCTTTTATTTTTCTTGCAATAATAAATTTTGGATTTTTTTATTTGGGGGAGGGGGTCCTTTTTTATTTTTATAGGTTGACAAAAATGGTGTGACTTATGTTGATTTTCAATATTTAACGTGGAGAAAGGAGTATGCTCTCATTGCTCTGACTCTTGAAACAAAACTAGTGGAGCATCTTTTTGTACTCTTCTTGTCAAGTGGATGAGAACTAATTAAAAAAAAAAATCCTCCAAAACTACCAAGCCACCACTTTTCACCTTCTTGTCTTGTAATCGGGGAAATGGATTATTGCATTTTTTTAATCTTTTTTTGAGTCTCATTTATGAGTATTGTGAAATTGTGACGAAATATTTGTTGTATCTCCTTTGAGTCATTATTTGTAACCTTACTTTTCGTTTTTTTTTGTGGGCTTTAAAAAACCCTAAACCCACCAATTTTCTTATGACCAAACTCTAGCAATTTTTTGGTTTGGCAATCAAGGATAGTTTTTAGTTTAAAAAGGGGATAAAAGGATGAGAGTGACGAGTTTCAAATTCTTTACTTCCTTCACGCCACAATCCTCCAAATAATCTAAATTCTGTGTATAAAGTGATCACACTGCTGAGACCACTTTTTCTATTCACTTCTTCCTTTTCATGCGTTGTTTATTGGTGGACCAACGGTTGATGCTACCACATAATTTTCATAAAATACAACACAAAATGAATGATCAGTTTGGTGGCTTATTTATTCATTAATTAGTAATATGTATTTCTTGGTTCTATCTATGTCTTTGGCAAAAATATTTAGCCATGGGAAGGGGAATTGTGGTGCAAGAGAAATCAGAGGGTGCAATCCCAGTGGCAACATTGTCACCACCTGAAGGCAACACTACATTCATTGATGGAACAACTTGGTGTGTGGCCCTTGCTGGTGTTTCCCAAGCTGACTTGCAGAGTGCTCTTGATTGGGCCTGTGGACTTGGAATGGCAGATTGCAAAGCCATCCAACAAGGTGGGCCATGCTTTGAACCAGACACACTAGTTTCTCATGCATCCTTTGCTTTCAACACCTACTATCAGACTAATGGCAATTCTGATATTGCATGCAACTTTGGAGGAACTGCTGCTTTGACCAAACATAACCCCAGTAAGTTAAATATTTAATTCTGTCTTGAATCCTGATTGACTCTTCAATAAACACGTATAAAAAAAATAAGAAAGTAAAATAATATCATTTTACAATATTAATATTGAAATCAGTCTTGGGACAGGTTAAACAAGAAAACTTCTATGAAATTTAAAGTTCATAAGTTAATTTTAATTGGTAGAAACTTAATTAGTTTTATCTTTTTATTATCTTCGTATGAGTGCCTATTGAAAAATTTATCTAATCAGGAAGCTTATGTTTCATGCTGTAACAATTTTATGTTATGGAATATGTGATTAGTAGCCCCACCAATAAAACATGTGTGTACTCTATATGTGAAGATCAGAAGTAGCAAACAGTTTTGCCTCTTGCATGTTGGGAGCTTTAGTACTTTACCGCTTTGCCATTTTAGTTTTTGATGCCTACGTAGCATCCTTTCCCTTTTGGTACCATAGTGATGCTTTTGCAGTGTGTAATGATTAATGAATAACGTTAGTTGTGTGATCCTTACTGAATTTCTTTCTGGTTGGTGGATATATATATTTATATTTTGATCAGCTGATTGGTGAATATATGTCAAGTGTTAAAGATTTCTGGAACTTTCGGCATTTATATCTTTCGTTCTTTTTTGTTTGAGAAGGGTGTGAGGTGTTGAAAAACGGGTGCTTAAGCAATTAATTTCATCCAACCAAGTAATTTACTTTTGTTCGTGTGCTTTTTTTTTTTTTGCATTTGCATTATTGTAGTCGGTTTCTTTAAAGTTTAAAATTAATTAACACCTTTTCCATCTAAAACATGAAAAGGTTTTTCTAATATGAAGTTGTGATGTGATATTCTGTTAGAAGATACCAGAAGGTTTACTTTCCGATTAGCAATTGTTTTGAGTTGATTATTAATTTATTATTGATGTGTATAATAAGTAGGTACACACTTTGGATTATATTCCTCATGTCATATAGTGTACATTTTACGCATTATTTGTTGGATGCTTTCTGAAAATTGGTATATGTTCAGATTCATGTTAGGTTATTCAAAAGCACCTTAAAATACTAATTAAGAAGATTTTGGAATACGAGGAATTTTAATCCTGCATGTGATCCCTCGAGAATAATGTTCATACTTGGATTTTGATATAGAATTCATTCTGAACTTGTGTTTCTTTTGTCTACAGGTTATGGAAAATGTGTCTATTCTACATCTGGGTATGTATGATATCATAGCATAACTAGCTTTATTTTATTTTATTGAATCACATTTACATCATTATTATTTATGTGACAGATCTGTTGGTTCTTCTGCGCCACCTTCATTAAGGAAGCATAACCAAAGCCTAGTTTGGTCGAAACTTGCTGCTCTGTTACTGCTTTCATACTTTTGGATATGACTATGGTCGGGAAAACTATGGACAAAAGAAAAAGGGAATTAGAGGAAGGTAGGGAATGTACCTTTGTTAGGATTTTGTAATTGTGTTTTTGTTGCTAAGGTATCCTTAGCTTTCATGTTGGGTCATGACAAGAATCTCTAATTGTGCAAATAATTTCTTTCTGCAGTTTAATTTGTGAATTATTCGTTTCCCTTGCTGCTTAATTTTCTGTCTTGTTTCTTTAAAATCCTATTTCAAATCCCTGATTAGGTCAGGACAAACTTTTATGCCCCAGTTTCTTTGTTATTTGGATTAGGGACTATTTCATATTTAAAGACATGTTTGGTTTAAGGGAATATTTTTATTATATATTTTTTAAGATAAAGAATGCGTTTGTTTTTTGTGTTTTATCTCTTTTCTAAAAGATGTGTATTTATTTATTCATTTTAATTAAATTAAAGGGGGAAAAAGTACTCAAGTCACCAGGAAAAACTATTCCATTTGCAAGTGATTAATGCTCCCAACTTTAATTTTATTTGTATTGATCTTTAATTATACATTACTTTTTAAAAATAAAATAGCATAAATATTAATATTTGTCATAATTAATATTTAAATTTAGTCTTTTTTTATTATTTAATAAACGTGTTGAACTTTAATTTGATCTTATTGATCCTTTAAATTTATCTTTTTTAGTCTTTTATTAAGGTTGGTATTGTGGTAAAGTGGGTTAACCCACTTAAAGTGGGATAAGTGGGTTGATCTATTAAAGAAGTGAGGTGGGACGGATTAGTTTACTAAAGAAAATGTGTTGAAAAATATGATCGTCTCACTTGGTAGTAAGTTGCCGAGTTGGTTTATTTTAATTGATTGGTGGGTTAAAAATGATGGGTTAACAAGTTAATCTACTTTTAATTTACTTAACTTTAAAAAAAAATCTTAATTGAAATATTTTAACTTAAAAAAAAAACTCAATTTAAATATTTTAATATATATTATCACTTTAATTTATATTTTATTATTATTTCTAAATTTGATTAAAGATGTTGTATTTTTCATGAAAAAGACAAAATAATATAATTTCTATTAAAAATAAACATTATATATGAAAATATACTAGGTAAAAAATATGATTAAAATAATATATTTTTATTTAATATAAAAGGAGAATAATTACTTAGAAAATAAATTAAACTATAAAATAAAAATATCGACCCAACATAAATTTACTGTAAATTTATCTTTAAAAATATTAAAAAAAAGTGAATTGGTGGATCCAAGATTGACCGGTTTGGTGAGATGGGGTTGGGTTGATGGATTTATTTATCCAAATTAACCCATTAAAATTAGGTGAATTGATATATTAACTCACTAACTTTGACCTACATTATCATTCCTATCTTTTATAAATAATTGTTGGAAAGAAAACTCAATAATTCATTTATATTAAATGATAATCATTTAATAGTTCATCATTTTTATCACAAATCATTTTTAATATATTAAAATATAATAAAAATATGAGATTAGAAAATATGAAAAGTGAAAATAATTATAAAAAATTGATTATAAATTTTTATAAGTTTTAATGTTTGGAAAGGTGTTTTATAAAAAATTAATAAATAATTGAGGTTAAAAAAATAGTTGATATTTCTTCTTTAATATTAATTTAATAACTTAATTGATATAAAAGATTATTCATAAAAAAATTAATTTTTAAGGACTAATATAATACCGTTATATGTAATATAATGCTCATGTTATTTTTTTAGAAGGGTAGATGATCTAGTGATTTAAATAAGTTAATGATAAGTATTATAGGTTTTAATTTTTATAAAGTCACTTTTTATCATTTTTAAATTTTATATTTCTTTATCATGTTATATCACGTCAATTGTCATGTCATTATTGAAATGTCATCATAATGAACAATCAAGTGTCATGTCAAAATTATCTTATCACATCATTATTATTAATTAACGATTAGTCAGTAAAATAATATTAAAATTGCATGATTTTTTTTTAAATAGAAGCCAAAATATCAAAGATCAAATTCGTAGACTTTAAATTATAGAATACAAAGTGTCTAAAAATTTATATAAACAAAATATTTTTAAAGTTAAAATTTTCATTTATATACAAAATTATTATTTTTAAAATTTTTTAGTTTTTTTTTCAAATTCACATGAACTTAGCAAATTGTTTTGAAATTGATACAAGACAATTTATAAGATAGGAAGTTAAAAACATGGCTAAGAGAATAGCACAAGAAAAGGTTACAAAATGTCTTTTTATTACTAGTCATAATCTTTTAAGCAAGCAAAATCAATCATTAGCATTAAGGTAAATATATTAACACCAAAATATACAATCAATCCTTATTATTACCATAATGATAGAATGATTCAAAATAGAAGTCAATTACAATAAGTTCAAATCAATGTTCATTATAACCTAATATAAAAAAAATCCATAAAAAGAAAATAAAACAATTTTAGGGGAGACAAGTATAAAACCCTGGATTTTGAAGGGTTGTTGTCATTTCCTTCAATATTCAATGGCGGATAATGATTCTCAAGAGTCTCCTTCCTCGCTTCCAGTCCTAAAAGGAGTAAGAAAAAAATCCAAACAATTGACTTTTCTCTTTTTTATATTAATTGTGGGTTTTCAATAAATAAAATAAAATAACTAATTTCTTGTGATCTGATTCACTGAGCAACCCTTTTTATATCGTTAGGTGATAATTTTTCAAAATTGAGTTCATGCCAAGCAAGAATTATGCATAACTGAATTCTTGTTAAGTGACAACAAGCAACAACAATATTTTGTTCAAGCTCACCGGGCAATGCTCTAAACTTACTCAATGAAATGTTGAGTTTTTGTGGCAAATGTAATAAGTTTATTGTAATGTATTTTTGAAGTATGGGTTGTCATGTATACATAGGTTTGAAATATATTTTGTAATTTTTAATATTTTAATTAAAACTTGTAAAAATATATATTTACAATTGAATACAAACATATTGTTTGGCGATTTAACATTTAATGGGTGAGTAAACAAGTAATAGAAAGCAAGTGAAAGTTTGAAAGAAAGACAATGAGAGAAATTATTGAGACATAATTTCACTTTCTCTATTTTCCGGAGATTATCTACATATAATTTTCATTACTTAATGCTGTTAAATTCTTTAAATTTATTATAAACCCATTGTCTTAAAAAGTTACAAGGAAACTAATTTGATAATTGTACCGTCTCGATTTATTTTCGATACGGCTCATAGGAAAATGATCGAGACCCTTGTTACCTCACCACAGGAACACACTCGACCAGAGTCCGACCTTACCTCGCCATGTGGGTGAACTCGGCAAAGGGTCCAATCTGACTCCGTCACGAGGGTGAACTCGGCCAGAGTCCGACCTTATCTCGCCACGTGGGTGAACTCGACAAAAGCCCGACCTGACCCCATGGTGAGCTTGGCCAGAGTCCGACCTTACCTCGCCACGTGGGTGAACTCGGCAAAAGCCCGATCTTACTCCTCTACATGGAGGGGACTCGGTTAGAATCCAATCAAACCTTCCCACGTAAGTACTGATCTGGTATTAAAGATAAAATCATATCTTTAATGATAAAAGATTTCCATATTAAAACTGTCATAAAAATCTCCGCGTTCACGGGGCCTGTGAGGCCCATGGACGAGATAGTATAAGAGGCAGATTACACTCTTGAATGTTCTGACTCAGGGGTTTGATCTAGGAAAGAAAATCCTAGTCCACCTTTTGGCTGGAACAATAATAGATTTCTCATTTTGTCAAATAAGAATTATTGCATTAAGTTCAATAATTTGTTCAACTCATTACTAAAAAATTATTTTTAACCTTTAATTAGATTAATCAAGTGATTTTGATTTAAAAAAATTATTATTTTGTTTTTATTTTTATATATTTTATTTCTTACATTTTTACTTGTACTCGGTATTTCTTTATAATTTTATTCTATTATTTATTCTTTTTTATATTTTATCAAACATATATGATATTATTTTTCACCTATTTATTTTAGATTAAACAATCAAATTTTTATTCACTTATTTTTTCTATTTTTTTATCCTATTTCTCTACTCACAATCATGTAAAAGGTAAATAAAAAAAGAAGAAAAAAAAAAACCAACTTACACACACACACACACTCACTTTACCGGGGCCTGATTGAAACGAGGGCAAGGCCGCAAGAGCGTAAAGCCGCTCCACACTTCTCTTGTGTCCTCTCTTAAGAAATTGTGAGAGTGAAAGAGGTCGCTGTTGCGTTGTGGCGCAGCGAAGCGGTTAACCACTCCGAACCCTTTCAGATTTCATTCTTCACCCCTATCGACTGTGAGAGAGTGAAGAGAAGAGAGAAGGATGAGTATATGGAACTACGTAGTCACAGCTCACAAACCCACCAACGTCACCCACTCATGCGTCGGCAACTTCACCAGTCCTCAAGACCTCAATCTCATTATCGCGTATTCATTTCCCTTTCTTCTTAGGGTTCCTTTCTCCTCTCTTTCAATTTCTTAACCCTTTCACTTCGTTTCTCTTCCAGGAAATGCACGCGCATCGAGATTCATTTGCTTTCTCCTCAGGGCTTGCAGGTCTCTCTCTATTCCATTACTCCAATCGTTTTCTTGTCTTCTCTATCGGATAAATGTGACACCCAACCCTCGCTTTTTGCAGCCTATGTTGGACGTTCCAATATACGGAAGAATTGCCACACTCGAACTCTTCCGCCCTCATGTGAGACAATTGTAACATGTTAATTTTTTAGTTTTTGCCTGGTATTTTAGTTTTATTCTTTCATAATTTGTTTTTGTGTGCATGTTTTGGTCTCAAACAGGGTGAAGCACAGGATTATCTCTTTATTGCAACTGAAAGATACAAATTCTGTGTTCTTCAATGGGATTCCGAGACTGGCGAGCTTGTCACAAGGTATGCACGAGGAAGCAGCAGCAACGACTTACTCGTGTTTTTTTTTTTTTTTTGAAGATTGAAATCAACATTCATTTTAATCTTTAGCAATTATGATTTAGGAACCGTACAAGCAGTCATCTAGGGTACTGACAATCTCTTTGTGAATTCTGTAATGCAATAATCCAATTAGTTACTTGGTTTAAAACAGGGAACTTTGTATGCATTTTATAAATGAGTTACATAACTTTGAAGCGGT